AGAGAGAGAGAGAGAGAGAGAAATAGAGGGAGGGAGGGAGGAGAGCAAGGGGCTTGCCAAGCTCACTCAGTTGCCTGAGCCAGGCCTGGCACAGAAATCTTGAGCTCCAGGCCCTTTTGACTCCCTCTTGTTCTCTGCGTTTATCTCATGTTCTTCCGACTGCTCCTCTGGCCAGCAAGGCCCTTTCAACTCAGATTCACCAATTCGCCATCTGCACTTGCCAACTCTCCCCTTGCAGAGCCTTACACTGGACCAGTTCCCAAGCTTTCCCTGGGGCAGCTCCGAGACTTATCTGCTCACAGCACCACCCAGTGCAGAGCCTCAAGGGGCACCACTCATACCACGATCTCTCTGGATGGTGCTCCCCGTGCTGTGCAGTGTGGTGACCCAGGGCCCGGCTTAGTGGAAATGTCAAGGGCTTTGCGCAAATGCTCCGCACGCATTAGTAAAAAAAGAATCGAGACTACCAGACGAGGCATATTTTTCAAGCTGGCAGTCATCTTCCCACTGGGAAGCGAGCGGATAGCTGATGAAAGGGGAGGATGAAATGCAGCAACAGAGAAGGACACAGCTCCCGTCATGCCAGCCAGGGAGGTGCAGCCCAGGAGCAGGAACGTCGATGGGTCACAGGCAAGGAAATGAGACTGTAAATCCCAGTTTGTAGAGCCAGACAGTCCTGACTTTTCTTCCTCTCTTTCTTTTTTTCTCTCTGTAGAGGAGTTTTCTTAGACACCATCCTCCCCCGTCGAGACGACAATGGCATCCGGCCAACCATTGGCCAGCGTGTGCGGCTCAGCCAGGGAGACATAGCTCAAGCTAGGAAACTGTACAAATGCCCAGGTAACTGTGAGCCCTGGGGACTCCCAGCACCTCCCAGCGTCCTGTGGAGTACAACTTGATGCTTTTTGAACACAGCTCCCCTTGCTGGAATAAAACCTCGGGGAACCTAAAAGGATCATTCCTTGGCAGCTGTAATTGCTGGTGTCTTTCTTTTAGGAGGTGCTAGACAGTATGGAAAGCCAAAATGGTGATGGCAATCATAGGTCTTGAAGCCCATAGTTGGACTTGTGGCAGGCTTTGGACTTCTTTGGCAAAGCTAAGGGGAAGAAGGTATAGTACTGCAGTACCCAGGTACCAAAGCAGAGTGACCCTGTAACAGTAAGAGCGCCTCTCCTTTCTGTAGGACTGGGTTTGATGGTTTGGCAACACAAGAACAAAGGAGGACTTTGCAGGAAGACAAAGAATGAGGACAAACACTTTTGAGATGCTAGGGGTCAGTTTCCTAAATACTACAGACAGAGGAAGTCTTAGCGCTATAAAGGAGGTTGTTTCTATGGGCTCAGAGTCAATGACCAGCAGTCTTCCATTTAAGACTAAGTAGTACTCTGGGGTTTGAGAGAACGCCTCAACTGCCGCCAGTCCAGCACTCCCTTCTCCTTGAATTGGCCCTTTTCCCTTTTCTCCCCAAGGCTTCAGCACCAGCCCACCCCTGCTTCCTGTGGGTGGTGATGGTGATGAAAGTGCCTTGGGCCCTCTAAGCTGCTGAGTGTCAGAGCAAAGCATTTGTCCAAGCAGCCAGAGCTGTACCTTTGATGTGATAGATAGCACGGGAGGACAGGGGTCGGAAGAGACACTGGATGAATCCTGGCAAAACTCAAACACTAATAGACAAGAATGGGTCACAGAATTTTGTGAGGTCTTAAATAGGAAGTCAGGAGAATAGATTACCGGTGAGAGCCGGGATTATTCATGCTAGAAATCCACTTCACAGTAAAGTAGAGCTTTAGCCATTCTAACAAATCAGTATCTTCCTTGAGCAACTCACTGTGCCTAAAGGGGCTCGTAGGGTGCTATATACATGTTTTTTACCCCTCCCTTCCCCTTCCTTTCTTTTCCCTTCCTTCCCGCCCACTCCCCTTACTTTCCCTCTTCTCTTCCCTCCCTTCCCCTCTCCTCTCCTCCCTTCCGATTTGGATACAGAGTTTGATAAAGACATGGAATATTTGAAATGGAGGCCACTGGAGAAAAATTTAGGCTGTCACATTGCCACACTGAGCAGCAGGTCTGCGGGGCTCGCTGTGTGTGCATGAAACTGGGCAGTGTGTCCACCTAGCCATTAGGTGTCTGGGGACACGTTAGGGCTGAAATGCAGGATGCACATATCATATGGCCTTGATGAATTTAAAGGGAAACCTTATAGCATTCTCTGGGAAATGCCATAGTACTTATTTAGTTATAATGTATATGCTGTGTATTTCCCAAAAGGATTGGAAGCAGCTGGTAAATACCGTGGAGCTATACAGTAATGTATCTGTTCTTGCAGAATGTTGATGATTATTCTAAAATAATTTCCATGGAACCCTCAGGGGGTGTAGACTGCCGGGCATAATCCTCATGATGCCTGGCAGTTGTTCAGTAATGTGATATGGAAGCCCCAATATCCAGGATTTCCTGAGGCCAAGGGTGGGTAGTTCTCCACCTCTCCCTTCCTGCAGCTCCAAAAAATATGGAGCTTTGTGAAGGTTCAAGTAATAACTGAGAGCTAAGGCTGTTGCTATGCAGAGCTTGAGTCGCTTGTAGTACAAGGTCCTTAACAATGCTTGTTCCCCACTCTTTGCGGGTGGTGCTTTCTACACCGGACAAGCCAGTGTCTTTGTCTTTGGGATTGGAATCCCAAGGCTCAGGGAAATACAAAGCCTACAGCTCCTAAGGTGCAGACATTCTTTTGTTTTAAAGGGACATATTAGAGGAAATAATTTTCACATGTATGTCCTATGTTTGAGATTCATCACCAGGCAGCTGTCAAACTTGCAAAAAACTGAATCATGTGCTGTCGAGTATTCGAGCTTCCTGTGCCTCTCCACTTTTCTCTGCTTTCTTAACTATTTGGTAGCTCTCTCAGAGGTGCATAGCAGGAAAAGAGGTGAGATTTAAAACAACAACTGAAATGAGCTTCAAAACTGAAATGGATTTCAAAATTGAAATGAGTCTCAGAGCATCTTCTTTCTTTTTTGCTTCACTGGCTTGCACTCCCATGGTCTCCCTACCCCAAATGTTATTGTTAGCAGCCACGATGGCCACAATGTATGGAGCACTCACTGGGTGCCCAGTTGACCCGTTGTGCGTAATACAGTGACTCTGCTCAGCCTCTGCGGTCCACCCTGCTTATTTTACAGACAAGAAAATCAGTGCCCGGCCAGTAGCCACACAGCCTGCCAGACAGTTGAGGTTTGACTTCAAATCTGGACCATGCTCAGTCTTGAGAGGCACAGGAGGGCCCTGGGTGCTGCTCTTTGGCACTGCATGCTACTTTCTTTATGTCACTGCCTCACATCCGTCCTTGTGAGGACTTCGGCTGGTAAACGGGTGTTTTTGCTTGGTGGCCCCAGGCAGGAGCTGCACAGGCAGCATGGTACACATGCCAGTGTCACAGTTGTTGTTTTGCTTGTGCAGCATGTGGGGAGACCCTGCAGGACACAACAGGAAACTTTTCTGCACCCGGTTTCCCAAATGGCTACCCATCTTACGCCCACTGCATCTGGAGGATCTCCGTCACTCCAGGGGAGAAGGTAGGTGGGACGTTAATTACGCTGCCGTGACCATTGCACACTACGCACGTGCACCAAATTGTCACGCTGCACTCCAGGGATACATCATGGAAATAATCATGAATAGTTTTTAAAGCTAGGCAAGAAACCTCCTGGGAAAGGATGGCTTTCTGGATGACACAAGAGGACACTAGTAATAATAACAGCTCTTTTGTTAAGAGCACACAGCACGTGGCAGGCACAGGCTGCTTGCTTTACATTCACTATTTCTGGACTTCTCAACCAGTTTCACCCATACAAAGGGAGGCCTAACACTTGCTAACTGTTCATATAAGTTATAGATTAAGCAAACCGTTTGTAAGGCAAAGAAGGCTCTATCCTTCCTTGATAAGTGTTACAATGATCCAATTTAGAATTGGCAAGGTCCAATTTAGAATTTATTGACATCTTGATTTGCTGGTCTGGAAGGTGGCAATGTGGGGAGAGCTGACCCCCAAATGCAGTCAGGCCCTCCCCTTTCCTTCTGACTCACATTTGGTACTTCAGGAGCACCCCCGCCCCAACCCACACTCCCAAACACCATCCGCCCCTATCTTGCAAACGGCTGTTCCTTAGCTGCCCCTCCAGTGGGTGGGCTGGCCAGGTGTGTACCTTTCTTGCTTGGAAGCAGGGATCCAAGTGGGTCAGCGCTGAGGGAGGCCTAGAGGCCAGACAAACTGCATGGGCATGTTCCTGTGGCTCTGAAGATTCCATGACCCTCTAGAGCTAAGCTGAGGACCAGGGCCTCTTTACCCTAGTCCATGGGTAATGTGTTCTCAATCCTATAACAGAGTGAATATTCTTATAGTCATTCCTTGGACATTAAGGAAATTGCTTAGGTTCACTGCAAGATATAGAACTGGGAATGGAGACCTAGGCTTCATATTCCAAAGTTTATCTTTTCAATCAATGTCTCTGCAAATCCAAGTGCTTTTCAGAGGCGTTGGTGGTATAATGGTTGGCATAGCTGCCTTCTAAGTGTTCTTTAGATTGTCTCAGCTTACCTGCAGCTGTGTTTTCCTTGGGTTGGGGTAAGGGGACACCACCTGTGTTCCCAGTTATCTCTACAATGTCACAGTTCACAGCATGTCTCATAGTGTTATAATTGCTGGTATATTTGTCCCCCTTCTAACCCTAAACTCATTGAGGACAGGTTGACTATCCTCAGTCCGAGGACTCCACACAGTGTATGGCACATACTGAGTATTTGTTGAAAGGATAAGGAGACATATCTGGGGCTTAGTGAAAAACTGGTCATCAGGGTAGCAGTGGGTGTATTGGAATTTTTCAGGTGCCTATAGACAACCACAAGCATTGTGAATTTATAGCTTCAAAAGAAGTCCATTGAAGTGTTGAGTTAAGCATAGTGTGATAACTAGAAAGAAAGGCCTAGGACCATTACGAACTCTCTCTGTGGACTAGGTTCTATCTTCAGTATGTTATGGGGATCATTTAATTTGATCCTTACATCAACTTCACAAGGCTAGGTGCTTTATCTTGCTTATTTCATTTGCTTATTTATGTGTTTATTTATTTATTTGTGGTACCAGGCATCAAACTTGGGACCTTGAGCTTGCAAGGCAGGCAGTGGAATCACTGAGCTAAATCCCTGGTCCACCTTGCTTATTTTGTAGGAAAGAAAAGAAACTGCCTAAGGCTACTAAGTGCATGGCAAAGTTAGGATTTGAACCCGGCCAACTGGACTTGTGAGAGTCTGAACGCTTGACCATCATCTCATATTGTTATACAGAGGGAGCATGTTAGCAGATAGACATTTGAACATGCACTTATGATACACAATGCACTTATATACATGCATGCACTGAATCTTTGCTCTTGCACATTTAATACAGCGTGGATGTCATCTTGTAGCTGAGACTCCAGATCTTCTGCGTTGGATGGATGTGACGTCTCTATTTCTAACAGGAGGGAGGCAGGCAGGAGGAGGAGGAAGAGGAAAGGATCTAGTAATCTCCAAATTGTTGATTTTATTCGCACAGCACACGCTATGTAATATGTTTGAAACATGTAAGCTTCACCAAGCCTCAATTATTAGTCCTCACTGGGGGCAGGGAGAATATACATCACTGAAATATCTGCACCAATTATTCCATTTTCTGCTTCGCCCAGCCTTCCCCAGAGCTCCTAGTAATTAACAAACTTGGTTGATTTGAGTATCACCTCTCGTTCATCACGTCTTCCTCTATGGTCTTTATGGTTCATTAACATACTTAAAATAATTAGCCTGAATAATTATCCGGTTTATTTAGAATATGAATGTGTTACCAAGGAGGTTGTACTAAGATTTCCTTTCCTTGATTTTACAAAGCAAAGGCTAAAGAATTATTGTGCAAGCAGCTTACAAAGTATTCCTGAGCTTGATTACTTAAATAAAAGCTCTGTGGAGATTTGAGAGAAATCTAAATTACATCCTTGACTTTAGTTTGGGTTCCCCCACTCCCTGGCAGTCTGATTTAAAGGAAGGAGGGACATTTGCTTGGTACCAGCCTTTCCCCTAAAGCTTCCAAGGTGATTCAAATGTTCAAGTAGGGTTTTAAAGACCAGTGTAGTTTGAGAGTGACATTATACACATGCACACACACATATGTACATGCACAGGGATAGAGATAAGCTGGCCTGTTATTTTATGGTACCCACTCTTCATTGCCTAGGAGATCACAGGGTTTTGTGGAAGATGCTACTTGTCCTGGGACCTGACTGCAGGGCAGGATTGCTCAGAGGGAAGAGGTGGGTACTTTTACCACCAGACGAGATGGACAGTCGAAGCTGGTACCAGTTGTGGTACACTGTTTGGTATGATCTGACTTTTAATTACCATTTATGGAGTTTCTACTATCTGCTGGGATTGGCACTTATAAACTCTATACAGTTTCTTGTGCAGTCCCCTCAACAACCTAATAGTGTGCATATTGATTTGAAGATGAGGAACGCGAGGTCCAAGAAAGTCAAGTATCTCCTCAAGATTCCAGGGTTGGTAATTGGTGAAGGTGAGAAGTGTAATCTGCTTGACCCTAAAGACACCTGCTCGGAATCTCTATATGAGAGGGAGTAATGCATTCCAAAGATGATCAGATTATGTCCACTGGGCGGTGAGGGAAGGGCTTAGAAAAGAAGGGACACGTTTCTGGACCGGGGGAGGGTTTCATTAGTGTAGCTGTATCAGGGAGCCCTTGGAAAAAGGGAGTCTGGCTCTGGAGGTTGTGGAAAGTGAGCAGAGAGTTTCACTTATGAGAGAGGGATATGGGGATCTGCAGAGGTTTCCTAAGTATGGGAGGGATCTGGTAAACATGAGATACAAGACTGACCTGGAAGCCCTAGTATGCAGAATTGTGGAGGCACACCAGGGAGGGGCAGCAGCAATGAGGAGGAGACACGGAGGGGAGCAAGACTGGGTAAGAGGGGAGGGACAGACACCTTAAAGGGAAAAGAGCCATCAGTACAGGTGCTATGCAGATATGGGGAGGGTCAACAGCAGAGGAAAGGAGGGATAGCACTGAGGCAGGATGCCTGGGTGATTGAGGTGATGGGTCTTCTATAGTCAGGTAGGTGAGAGGGGAACACTTGGGTTTGAGGTGCTCTCACAGCTGGGGACAGTAGGGAGGGCAGGATCCACCCAAGGAGAGAGGACTGGCCAGTATGGTGACAACCAGAAAGGACAGGTGCAGTCCAAGGAGACCAGGGAACTGGAGAACAAATAACCATCTTCAGATTTGGGCAGGAGGGATCAGAACCTGTACACTACAAATCCTCCAGCCTCAAGGTTTACTTGAAGACAGTGTCCCTGGGCTGGTTGGCTATCAAAGAAGTAACCGGGAAAGGGACAGAGAGTGAAGATGTTGGACACCAGTGAGCTGCTGAGAGAAAGGTCCTTAGAAATGGAAAAGGTGGGCTGGGGATTTAGCTCAGCGGTTTGGTGGCCTGCTTCGCAAGTGCAAGTGCAAGGACTGGAGCTTGATCCCCAGTACCAAAATAAAAGAAATGGAAAAGGAACAGGGTCAGGGGTGTGTGGGCTGCTTAGAGCTGGAGAGCTGAGAAATGATAGAGCAGAAAAATGCTACAGAGAGTCAGCCTAGAGCTCTGATGAGATAAGCTACTGTTTCTCAGGGTACAGGACGCACAGGCATCTCTTGGGTGGAGCTTGACAGGAGTGGGGCTGTGGTGAAGGGAGAAGGGAAACCTGGGCTCCGCTGTAGTCCATCTTCTGAGAGAATCCCAGGCTGGAGGGAGGTGGGGGAACAGGGCCCACTCACTGGGTAGCACCTGTGTATTGAGATGCAGCCTGCAGGACCACTCTGTCCTCTCTACTAAATAATCACTTATTTGGCCATTGGGACTTCCAGCGAGGGACCTCAGGGATGTTCCAGAGAGCAGGAATGATCCCACCCAGCCTCAGCTTAACCCGCTGCCACCCTTGCCTTCACTCTTATCTCTTTGCCTCTTCATCTCCCTCATTCCAGGCACATTCACTGTCCTGGGCTTATGGTCCAAGGCCTCAAATAGCTCCTTGCCTCAGCTCCATAGCAGTTTTTCTTTATTTCTCTGCCCATGGAGCTCCTAGTCCTTGTAGATTAAATCGCACCTTCTCTGAGAAGTCTTCTCCAGGCAAAATTTCATTCTCCCATCTCAGGACTGTCTAACCCTCCCTTTTCAGCATTTATGCCATAGTGTCCTCGTTGGTGTGCTGTTTCTACCTTTTCCTCCTGCTCTGACCTCCCTTACGTAACTCTCTCCATTTCCCAGCATAGACTAGCACACAACAGGTGGCCAACCAGCAATGAATGAGTCAACTGTAGGAAGACTTTTGTATACACCGTACCTCAAAAGTAAGGTCATGGCCGAGGGGACATTGATCATAGAGGTGGTTAGATGCACTCGGGCTAACCCCAGAGTCTCTGAAATGATTGATGAAATTATAGGATCTTTTTGTATCTCTGAACTTCATCAACCCCCTTACCTCCTTCAAGGTACCCTTCTAAATCTAAGTCTCAGTCATCCTGGCCAGTCTTTTTAATGCATCTTGTTCTCCGTAAGCCACCTAGTGACTTCAGACTGATTTCCCAGACAGAGCCAAAGGACCCTTCTCTTTCTCTTTACTCCTCATCCTGCCTAAGGTTTATTATTTAATGTCACGAGGTTTCCTGTGCCTGTGTCTTTGAGAAGACCCTCCTCCTGTGGTCTGAGGGCCCTGTATGCTAAATGGTAATGTGAGAATACTGGTATGCACAGCGCGTCTTTCAGAACTCCTCAGGCTTTGTTGCTCAGACTCAGTCTATGGTAATTTCTTTACAGATCTTCCTAAACTTCACATCCATGGATTTATTTAAGAGCCGTCTGTGCTGGTACGATTATGTGGAGGTCCGGGATGGATACTGGAGGAAAGCCCCTCTATTGGGTGAGTGGACTTCAGACAACTTTAAGAGAGGAGCAGTTGAGTGTTCTCTGGAATGCTGTTACTGCCTGGAAGGGTCCATCGCAACAGCAGTCACAGGAAGCCCTAAGGGCCTATGTCATTGTAAAACTCTGAACACTTCATTTGGCCATGCATGTTAAAAGCTCTTAAAACTGTGAATAGCCTTTGACCTGGCAATTCCACTTCTTGGAATTTATCCTAGGGAACTAATTAAGGAAGAGTGCAAAGCTCTAGCTATAGGGATGTGCACTGAAGCAGGGAAAATTGAAAGCAATGTAAATGTTCAACAGTAGGAGTTAGCTGAATAGACTATGATACATCTTTTCAATTTAAAATTCTCTAGCCAGTAAAAATAAAGTTGGAGGTGACTATGTATTGGGTATAAAAAGTTGTTGGTGGTCTACTGTTAGCTGCAAAAAGTATGTTACAGAGTGGAATATGGAGTAGCATTAATTAGAAATATATGCCTACATATATATATACAGTGATACCTCACTCCATACATTTAATTCATTCCACAATTCTGGAAAAGACAGCCACATTGGTGTTCATGCAGGAAAGATGGCCGTGGTTGTTTTCATCACCCAATGCAGAGCTTGTAAACAGAAACAAAATTTTGCCGAATACTTCTGTGTATGAACCAAGTTGTTCGCAAACAAAGCATTCACGAACCGAGGTACATAAGTATCGACATTGCAGACTTAGATGCCGTAGCACTTGTAAGTGAATGAGATGGGATTAGTATAATAAAGTGAGTAGTAGAAATGTGGTGGGCTGAATACTGAATATCCTGTCCGGGATCATTCAAAGCAAAATTACTCAAAATATTCTGTAGGTTGAATTCAATGGGAAGGAATCATATGTGTTCTATCATAAAAATATCAAGTAAAAGTATACCTGTGAATCAGTCACATATACTTATTTCAGGATAAAATTTTAAAAAATCTCATTCTGTTCTTGATTTAGCTATATTTTACAAATTTTTGTGATCACATGTATTATTTTTGTGAGTTGAACAGGGTATGACCTCAACCATGATGAGGCAGCTAGGGCCTTTGAGTGATGGACAGCAGGCAGGTAGTATAAAGAGAAAAGCTAGTTCACTCAGGACTGATCACAAAAAGAGAAATCTTTCAGCAGTAGCCTGGGAAGATTACAACTGTAAGGAGAACTAGTGGCTTAGGACCTGACACCATGACTTATTTAGGCTGGGAATGGCAGCCACGGTAGACTGGAGAGAAAATTGCAAGGATAAGGAGCCAGTAGGAAGGTCTCAGCTGAGGAATGGTTGTTCTCATTGTTAGAATAGTCTGTAGTGTGGCTCCTGGGCTGGAGAAGTCTAAGAACTCGGTGAGTAGTTGGTTCCTGGTCTATCTTCATATGAACAGAAGAGCCACTCTTGTTATACTGAGATTGAAAAGCCTGAGAATGAGCTGTTGCTGAGACAGTTGGCTGAAGATGCTACTAGCAAAGCAAGAAGAGGACTTAGCTGGGAAGTTTCACTGCTGGACCAAGCCTAATGTCATGTTGGCTTAGGGGAACCAAGAATGGGATAGGTCAGAAGAGACTGGGTAGAAGGTCTGGCTATAACTTCCTTCAGAAAACCTGGCAGATGTGAAGCTATCAGATACAATAAAAATATAGTGAATGTTTAAAAGTTTTAAAAAATATATTGGAGTAAAATGCACAATGCCATTAATCCTCCTCAAAATATTCTCCCTTGCTTTGAACACATATATCCATCGTTCTTACCACTGACTACAGCCGTTCTAGAAGTCCTCTTTTGCGTCTTCAATTGTGTTTTTGTGGCTGCCTTGAAGCCCTGGGTTGATTCCAGACATTTACCTTTCATGGGCGTTTTAACTTTGGGGAAGAGCCAGAAATCCCACAGTGCCACACCCAGTGAATAAGGGGGACGAGGACGCACGGTAAGATTTTTACAGACTGCCTTTCCATTGGGTGGTCCTCAGCAGCAACGTTTATCCTATTTTGGATCCCACCTGGGAAGATACAACAGAGGACTTCCAGAACTGCTTCCAGATGCGGCAAGAATGACAGAAGACATGTGTTTGAAGCAGAGGAGCATACTTTAAGGGGGGATTAAAGGTGATGTGTCTTTTATTGCAATTAATTTAAAAAAACTTTAAAATTCACTGTATACTTCGATCACACTGCATACTGTATGACTAAAGTAAGCTACTGCAGGAAGAGCACATAGGCACCTGTGACCATGAATTTGAATTCCTTGTGGTAAAATAGGTAGGAGTTCCTGTCCTTAGGAGCACCAAAGAGCTGGGGAGCAGCCAGAGCAGACTGAGTCTGAGCACCAGGTTGCCCCAATTAGGAGCAATCTGTCAGGTAGTTAGCAGTCCGAACAGGCAACCAAGAAAGTGACCTCCAGGCCAAGTGTGCACAGGAATGTGTACACTGCAGAACAAGTGGATTATGCCACCGGTGCAGTGGAAGGGGAAACGCTGTCTTGTCCTGGATTTCTGTTTCCTCCTAATGTAAGCAGACAGGGCAGGTGTTAGTAGCTAGCAGCGGGTGAGGCTTTACAGGTAGCACTGGGTTGATGTAACAAAATCAGAGAGATGAATCCCTGGAGTAGAGTTTCCCAAACCTGGCTGAGCACTAGAGTCCTGGGAAAGTTCTGAACCAGAATCCCCACAAAGTGGGTCAGAGAACGATTGTGTTGACCTATAAATACGTGGTTCATGTGCTTGTGTCCAGTGCCAGGACACAGAGAGTGGCCTGGAATGGTGCTCATCAAATTGTTGAAGTGGTTACCTCTAAGAAAGGAAGCGTAGAGGTGGTGGGCAGCTTCCTGTTCTGTTTTGTGCAAGACTCCGTTGTTTGGGTCTTTTACAAGAAGGCCTTTCACAAGAGCTGTGTGGAAGACCTTCATGAGAACATGGCATCCGGCAATCACAACCACTCAACCTCCTGAGTCGCTGAATTGTACTTGTTCATGAGAAAGCCCAGCTCCCCAAGTTACACTTTCTAAAGCCTCACAGACAACTAGTGGGTGAGATCAGATCAGAATTCAGATGTCCTGGTGAGGGGAAGAGGTGAGTGCTAAAATTGATCAGGGTGTCCCTTAGCTTTGCCGGATAAGATACATTATGTCTTGTTTATCTGAAATTCAAATTTAACTGGATTTCCTGGGTTATTGTTGGCTAAGCCTGGCAGCCCTATGCACCCACCCCATCCCACCCCAATGGAATAGAGGAGTTCTCTGTTACTAGGTTCCCCAGAGAGGTCCAAGGTACATTCCAAGAACGAGCATGTGCAGATTTCTAGGCATTCCCTTTGCCTGAACTTGAAGCAGGCATTTTCTTACAGCAAATCCTGTATTTCTGGCTACACTTTCATTAGTGGGACAAGATTTTGACAGTTTATTGCTGTAGGTGATGGTTTGAGGGGTTTTTTGTTCTGTTTGGGAGAGGTTAGGACTAATATTTTTGCACTGTACTGTAAACATTCCTGTGTGGTTGGTTTGGGGTGTGTGTGTGTGTGTGTGTGTGTGTGTGTGTGTGTGTGCGTGTGTGTGTGGTGTTGCAGCAAAGGCACGGCTCAGTGCCCACGGCCGTCATTCTTCCTTTGTAGGAGTTCTCCTTTGCCAACTATTTGGCCTGCTCTGATGTTTCCAAATGCAGTTGTTAGTGAACTTTTGTGTTTGGAACAAGTGCATTGTGTCAGCTGAGCTGGTCCCTGGGAGGGGTCAGGGCCATGAAATCTGCTGGGAGGAGGCAGGTCAATGCCCCTTTGGCAGGAGGGACAGCAGATTAGGGCGGATTGTGAAAGTATGCATCTTGCTCTGAAAAACTATGCATCACATTTTTTTCCCAGGGCAGTGTGTGAAAATCCAGGCATAATACATGCATAACTTTTTATGAATGAGCCCTTTATGACTCCCCATGGAGGCCACTTGTAGTGTCCTCATCTGTATTTCCTCTTCTTGATATCCTTATTAAACTCCTCCTCCGCACACAGGAGCTAGATTTCAGTTTAGGAATTTGACACCTTTTGTCCAATCCAATTTCTGTCCGGCCTGATTAGTCTCCTTGGGAGGAGGCTGTTTTGGACCCGGGTTTTTTCTTAGAGATGTCAAGGGAAAATGAAATCGACTGAGAACATTTCATAGCTTGGTAAATATCTCAACTAGGTTTTTCAGTTTTCAAGGGCAACTTAGGAGATGGTGCCTAACGGGGAAGGTGTTAGCTGCATAGAAACTCATCCGGTTGCCTGAAATACTGTCCTGGAAATTGGATTCCCCTCCCTGATTTGTTAGAGGAATTATTCTAAACAATGTAGTTTTGTGTGCAGAACTGTCTTTGGGCATTCTAGATCACCACAATGTACACAAAAGCCCTTTTACTCCTTTCCCTGAAATGAAGAGGGAAGTTCAGAAGGGCCACGCCAGCTCACCAGTGTCCTGTGGGCCTCGTACTGGGGCGCCCTCGTTCAGGGCAGCTTCCCCAATAAGCAGAAGTGGCAGTGTGAGGCCAACAGCAGAGCCTAGCGTTTCCCCATTCTTGCTCTGATCTTCTTTCATACTTGTCTGTCTCTAAACTGGAAAATAGGGATGATGCTTGCATTTCCACAGAGAGAGAGAGAGAGAGAGAGAGAGAGAGGGAGATCTAGTGTCTATTTATTCAAAATTGTACAATGATTAGAATTTCACCCAAATTCCTTTGGATGGTGCTGGTTTTGATGGTGATGAAGAAGAAGTTGATATTGATGATCAAAGTCCAGGTCTCAGACCACCAAGCTTAAAATTCTGCTTCTACCTCCAGCTTTGAGAAAAATTCTCTGATCCTCAATTTTTCTCATCTGCGAAATGGGATTAGTAATAGTCCCAAATTCAGGTTAATGTGTTAAGATGAGATAATCCTGGTAACACGGTAGGACAGTATCTGGCACAGACATGATCAATGACAAAAGGGCTTCTATTAGAGGTATGATGGTGAAGATGAGAGTTCTGAGATGTCAGGCAAGGGACAGAGTAATGCGTAGTAGTTGAGAGCTGCAAAGTGACTTGAGAAGAGGGCTCTGATCTGTAATGTGTTCTGCTAAGTACGGCCCTGCAAGACCGTCAGTACCTCAGCTGCAGTTCCTACCTCCTCCGGAGTACTGAGCAAACAGGTCGTCTTCTAACCGTTCTGGGTGGCGGCGGCTCATCCTATCCAGTTAGGGCTGGAGGCGGTGCAGCAGTGAAGGTCCCTCTCTCCTTTGGAAACATTCCTCAGTGGCTGTGACAGCTGCAGTTTGAAAAGGAGAAACTTGGACTTGAAACTCAAGCTAGGCTAGGCAGGAGCTCTGCTGGCAGTCTGGCGTGGTCTAACGGCCACTCTGTGTGCTGTCTCCCTGATGGTAAGCAACACTTCCTCCTGCTTCTGTGTTATTTTCCAAAAACTAATAGACACTAATTTGCCACACCAGAGGAACCATTACTGAAGATTTACAGGCTCTGATGGGCTTTTCCTTGCCAAAATCTCAGCAGCAGTTTCGCCTTATCTCTCTGAACTTTAAGCTCACCAAACTCAAACAGCTACAGGTGGCCAGAATCAGAAGGGAGTGAAGATGAACAGCTCTCTCCCTAAGCATGGGTGCTGTAGTTGGCCATTTGGAAATGCCCCTCATAGCTCTTTCCTCCTCCAACCTCAGTGTTCCCCACTTTTCTCAGAAGGATAGAGCAGAATTAAAAATAGCTTTAAGTGGCTTGTCTAGTGCCTAACATAGTATTGACAATAAAAATGTGCGCAATATATCTTTTAAATGGACTTTAAAAAAATTGAGAGCCCACCAATCTGGTGATTTACACCTGTAATACCAGCACTCTGGGAGTCTGATGAAGGAGGATCACAAGTTCAAGCCCAGTCTGGGCAACTTAGTGAGCTCATGTCCGGAAAAGAAAAAAAAGAAAAGGACTGAGATGTACAAAGACCCGGAATTTAATCCTCAGTACTGAAAAAAAAAAAAAATTACACACCATGCAATTCATTAAGTCAATAGATTTTAATATGCTCATAGAGGTGCATGGTCAATTTTAGAATATTTTCATCATCTTCCAAAGAAAATGCACAGCCATTAGTACTCACTCTCTATCTCCTTCCACCCAAAACGAAAGAAATTCGGTGATGCACTCGGTAGATTCTTGGCAGAGACATGTACTTCTGGTCCAAGCAGACCTTGGCTGCTCTGTGTTTTTTTTTTTGCAGGGTGGGGTGGGGTGGGGGGTTGAGGCAGGATCTCCCTAGGTAGCCCAGGCTGGCCTCAAACTTGAGGTTGATCCTCCTGCCTCAGCTTCCCTCACATGCTGGGATTGCAGACATGCAATGCCGCATCTGCTGCTCAGTATTCTGAACTGACCAGTAAAACAACCCACTTTCCACCCAACCCCGTCTCTGTCCTTGCCCTGGGCTACGGTCCTTAAATTTCATTAGGAGTGAGATGACCAAAGATTGTCACGTACTAGGAAGCTTGGCCTCCTCCTTTTCCTTCACAGAAGGTCAAAGCTTCAGACTGTGCACACAAGTGCCTAAGAAACTCGAATTTTTTTTCAATAACAAAAGTTTATACTTATTACGAACCTCTTTTCTATTAGGCAGTAGGAACTTAATTTCAGTCAGTTCTTTCCCTGGGAAGGGAGTACCAGTGGGAATAATCTGTGCCCAGCTATGTGTCTTTTTCACTCATCTCATACCTGAGACGCCATTCCTGACACCTGCAGTTTAAAGAAGGGGAGGTTGTCTGACTTAGAGTCTATAGAGGTTTCAGTCCATTGTCATTTGGTCCAAAGCAGCGTGGCCTGGCACAGGGGCATGGTGGAAGGGAGCTGCTGATGGCACGGCACCCGCGAACAGAGTGTCAAGGTTAGGGGCTGGGAAGTGAGATGAACCCTTCCAGGCCGTGCCCCCAGTGACCTTCTGTTCCACTCAAGCTATTATCCCCATGGTCCAGTCACTTCCGAAAGCCCAGCTGTGGGTGTACGGATCTCGACGTAGACCATAGATAGCATCATGGAAGTTGGGGTGGTGGTGCTGACAATATCACGGTCGTGCCTAGGCCTGCTGGGAGTCCTCATTCCTGACCAGCCAGTCCTCCGGTCTCATAAGAGGCTGCTGTGCTCCTCTTTGTCTCAATCCTAGGGCAACTCAGAATGGGATGGAGGCCACATCTCCCTCCAAGTGTGAGAAGCATTCTGTGGCTCCTCAAGTCCTCTGGGCTAAGGGGAAGTCACGTCCATTCCCCCTCAAGGGCTGCGAATGGCATTGCTACCATCATACCGTGTTTAGCTGGAGGAACAGGGCCGCGTGTTTTTACAGACCACACAGGCACTTCTGTTCTGCCCTTGTGAGAGGCAGGGGAATCCAGTCTTTTTTACCCCCTTAGGCTCTTCCCAGGGACTGGGGGACACAATTTTCTGCTTCTCCCAGATCCCTAAACTACCTGGGATCTCTGTTGGCCTTTTCTATCCAGGGTCTCAGCTTAGGGTGGGACGGGGGACAGGTCCTTTTAGGAGCTGCCTTATGCCCTGTCCAACCTTTCCCCTCTCTCCTCTCTCCTGTAATCTAAGACCACAAGGATGGGGAACGATTCTCTTACTCACTGTGCAGTCTTCCCTATCTTTGCTGTTGTGACCAGCCTTGTAATATTCAAAAGCCAAAATGATTTGATTTCTTTGTCATGTGTTCTCTGCCTCTCTCCCGAGGCAAAGAAAGCAGAATGTTCAGTGTCGCAAAGGGAGGGCATGGATAGCACAGGATACACTGAAGAATGAGTGTTCATCACTACCTCAGTGCCTGATTCCACCAAACCTCAGAGCTGCCTTGGGCCCATTTGGAGGAGGCGAGCACCTCGGCTACACCCTGGGTGCTTTGAGTGACCAGAATCTGGAGCCCTTGCCTGAGGCACAGAGGTTGTAGGACTCCTTCAGTCCTGTGTTTCAATCCGGTATGTGTGACAGGAGCAACAGTCGCGGAAGGCTACTGCTCACTTCGGACCACCTTGGAAGAGTCAGTTTGTCTCAATCAGCATCTTGCACCTCCTTGCTGTCCCAGGCATCCTGATTGTCTTTTCTACTTTTAGGTAGATTTTGTGGTGACAAAGTCCCCGAGCCCCTCATCTCCTCAGACAGCCGGCTCTGGGTGGAGTTCCGCAGCAGTAGCAACATCCTGGGCAAAGGCTTCTTCGCGGTGTATGAAGGTTTGTTCATGACAGAGGAAGCCACGCGGGTGGCTGCTGATCCGCTTGTCTTTCCCATGCACTTGCTGTCCGTCTTTCACTCCAGAGCTTGGCAGTTTGCCAGGCCCCCTAGAGTAGGGGTCATTGATTTAAGGGGTCAGCTGAGGACCGCAAGCCATTTCCTCTACATTCAGAATGCAGAGGCCAGCTGTGCTCATCTCAGAACTGTCATCTACCTGTCACCAGCCCATTGAATCCTTCCTGTCCATCTGGGGAGTCGGCTGCCCCATGTGAGGGTGATGTCAGGGTCCAAAACCCTGCGGATGGCAGTGGCTCTGGAAATGTGTGAGTCTAAGCAAAGGGGCTGACCTGATTGCGCCTCTGTTTCGCTCATGAAAAGAAGGCTTTGGACCATGTCAGGGAAGGTCCAGCTGCGTTTCCTAGAAGGGCCTGTGAGGCCACCCTGAGGGCAGAGCAGACTCTGAGCTGCCGCCCCAGGCAATGCTACTTCTACAGGTTTTGTGTGCTGAGCTTTCCTGACTCACGCCCCTTTCCATCCCATCCCACCCTCTCCAAGGTGAGACATTAAAAAAAAAAAAAAAAAAAAAATCAAGGGCCATTTTCGGCCTCCAATTGTGGTAATTAGAGAGGATGTCTTGTTTTTGTGAAAGACCTAATGCACACCTCTGTGTGTGTGGTCACACACGTGTATCTTTTAAGTGCAGCCATCCTCACCCAGTACATTAGAGTCACCTGGGGAACTCTGCAGCTTTGTGCTTTCCCTCACCCGAATGGGAGCCCCTGGGGGTGTGGCCCAGGCTCTTATAGTTGGAGCAGTTTCCCAGGTGATCTGATGCACCATGAAGGTGCTACATGGTTATCTTCTGTATATGAAAAAGTTCAGAGCAGAAAACACGCATTTTATGCCTGAGGCACAGTCTTTGTTGTATGGAGATGAAAATGTTGGTGAGTGGAGCCACCTAGTGGTGACCACTGACACCCATCTTCCTCTGACCGGGAACCCGCTTCCTCCTATGCTTTTTCTAAAGCTACATGTGGGGGAGACATTAACAAAGATGCTGGCCAGATCCAATCTCCCAACTACCCTGATGACTACAGGCCTTCCAAGGAATGTGTGTGGAGGATCACCGTGTCGGACGGGTTTCATGTGGGACTCATTTTCCAAGCATTTGAGGTGAGCCCAGCTTGGATGTCTCCCTAAAGACGTAAGTGACAAATTTCCTTGTTATTGTCCACTCTGTAAGGATGGGTTTCCAATTTCTGGGTTGAAAACAGGAACCTAAGAGACCACGTTACATATTAAGCCCATGGTGAGTTGTGCCTGGACATCTTATATCAAACTTTCTGCAGCCTTTGAAATGTGGTTCACCCCTTTTTTGGAAGGGTGCTAGAAGGGGCGAGAGAATAGTGGAAGTGAAAAGCTAGCCTGAGCTGGGCATGGCGGCACGTACCTGTAATCCCAGCACGCGGGAGGCTGAGGCAGAAAGGTCGCTATGAGTTCAAGGCTAGCTTGGGTTACATAGTGAGTTCAAGGCCAGCCTGAACTACATAGAGAGACTATTTCACACCCCAACCCCCATGAAAAACTATCCTGGAATCCAAGGGAGTCTTGCAGAATTGTTCTTCCCTACATCTCTTAGTCTCTCCGCAGTTTGATTCACCCTTGACTTTTGCAACAAGCCTTGAAGAAACTCAGGACACACTCAGCCTGGTTAGGTTTTGAGGATGATTTTTAGGTTCCATTTTTAAATAAAAAAACCTTGAAGATGAACCATCTGATGTTAACGAAGTGGCCTCTGTTTCTCCCTTTAGATTGAAAGGCACGACAGCTGCTCGTATGACTACCTGGAAATTCGTGACGGCCCCACGGAAGAGAGCGCCCTGATCGGCCACTTCTGTGGTTACGAGAAGCCGGAGGATGTGAAATCCAGCTCGAACAGACTGTGGATGAAGTTTGTGTCCGACGGCTCCATCAACAAATCAGGCTTTGCGGCCAATTTTTTCAAGGGTATGAATCAGCAGTTTGTTTCCACTTTTGGTCACAGGAAGAAATATTGCTCCCCCAGTTTAAGAATCACAAAATCCATGTGGAGCCTTGGCACTAGACGAGACTCCCTGGGAGGGAGGAGGTGGTGACCCATTTCAGAGCCGTATGCAGGGCCCCCTGGAGTTCCCACCTGGTCTCAGGCAGGAGAAGGCTCAGCCTTGCCTTCTGCAGAACGGACTGTTCTGGACTTGCAAATTAGATTTAGTAATTTCCTTGTAGTTTACAAGGTCAAACTATACGGTAGGGAAGTTGAGCGTTGATAAGAATGTGTATTTGTACAGTAGCTATCATTAATTGAGGACTTACTGTGTGCTAGAGCCCATGTAGAGTACATGATTTACCTGGCCATTGAATTCTCCAAATAGTCCTTTGAGTTAGGTCTGGTCCTGTTTTGTTTTTTTTTAGATAGGGTCTCACTATGTAATTTAGACTGACCTGGAACTCACTATGTACCCCAGACTGGTCTGAAACTCACAGTAATCCTCCTGCCTCAGCCTCTCAAGTGCTGGGATTACAGGTGTGCGCCACCATGCCCGGCTAGTTTGTGTTTGTTTGTTTGTTTGTTTGCTTTGGTACCAGGGATTGAACTCAGATTCTTGTGCTTGTGAGGCAGGCAGTGAGCTAAATCCCTGGCCCTGGTCACATTTGACCAACAATGGGATGGACTGCTCAGGATCACTCAGACAGCTAAATGGCAACTTGAGAATCCAACCCATTCTGACTCCAGAGCCCAAACTCTCTAAACCATTGTCTTACATTCCTTGGTGTGGACTGGAGAGGCGACAGCCCCAGCCTCTGTGCTTATCCCCAGAGAAGTGGGTCTGAGGAGATGAGGGTCACACTCTGGGAACAATCTTCCGTGTTGCCTTGAGGACCTGCTGCTCGTAGGGTCTTGATGGAACCAGACTAGTACCATACAGTCAGACCCAATGTTCTTGACCCCAAGGGGCTTCCAAGCCTCCTTAGAATTGCAGGTCTTCCTTCTCTGCTTTGGGAAGTTCTGCACACTACATCCCGAGAGGGGAGCGTGGCTGTCATCCCATGAATTGCGATGGGGCATTCAGTGGCACACTGGCAGGCCTTGGAGGACAGGGCCTGTTCTCTGCATCTGAGCCTCCTTCATTAGTGCTGCAACTCTGCCAGCTTGCCAGCCACCCATGTCTGCCTTGGCAGGCTGCCTCCTTCCCGCCCCATCTCTCCTAGGACTCACAAATCCTGGTCTCTGACCTCACGTTCTCTCTCCCCTCGGCCTCCTCTTTAGAGTCTTCTGCTAGTTCCTACACAAAGGGACTAGATGTCAGGAGAATCTACTTCAGGCTGTGCCACACAGGCAGGCAGCCATGTGTCCTGATTGTAGCCTCAGTTTCCCCCTTGGTAGAATACAAGAAGGAAATTTGCTCCTGTTCTCTACCAGTTGTTGTGAAGCCCTATTGAAATGACAGCCTTGGGGGCACTTTATAAGTTGACAAATGCCAAATAAGAAGTGGGTTTATTATTACTTTTTCCTTTTTGAGGCATCCTGGATGCTGAGGCTTGTTCCGGTGAGGCCAACAGTACGACTCCTATGAGCACAATGTGCGTGCTCAGGCTCCTGTGTCAGGATGCCTCCCGTGGAAGCACATACCGGGCCTGTGGCAGGGAGGGACAGAGCCAAAGAGCCTCTTGCCTTGTTGGTGCCAGTTGGCAGCAGGCTTTGCCCAGGGCCCAGCTGGCTCATGCCACTGGCCAGGGTGCCAGTTGGCCTCAGCACCCCTCTCACCGCTCATTGGCTGGGCAGCAGGCAGAGCACCTCGCTCTTCTGGTTACTTTGGGAGGATGACAGTGGCATCAAGCACTGGGTGAGCCCTTCTGGTCCCTCACTCCCTACACAAAGAATGTGAGGACTCCACCTTGGTCCCTACCTTCCATGGCCCCAGTGTGACATCCCACTGTGCTTCAGGATTTCTCTTTGAAGGCCTGGCTCCTTCTTCTCTTAACCTTTCTGAAACAGTTTCAGGATCCTGCCTAGGTGTCTGATTATTCAGCCCCAGAACGACCCCTTCTTTTCCTAATACCACCTGGAGGGTAAAAAGAAGCCAGTGGTCCTGCTGTGCTAAGCTGAACTCTGATTCTAGCCTCTTCTCCAACCCTCATGCTCTCCCAGATCCTTCTAGAAGATTTGGGCTTGAGCCAGTGGGCGGGGAGCATGAGCTACTTCATAGCAGCACGGAACTGCTGCAGACACGGGCTCCCACTGCGTGTGGCACCTGTCACACTTGGACATCACCTGTCCACAGTAGAGCACAGCTGCAAGTGGCCACATATCCTGCTGCTCTCGCAAAACCTACTTTTTATCGACTTTGTTGAGTCAATGCCTTATCCTTCTAGACTCTAGAGGAATCATACGCCCTTTGCTTTAGGCTTACGTCCATCCCTCTGTTCTCTTTCCACTTGCCCAGGACATTACTGAGGCACCGTGGTCCTCTCTTTCTTGCCTGAGTGTCCGGCCACAACCACGGCGTCACTGGCATCAGCGGCCTCCCCTGGTGCTGTCTCTGTCTTTATCCTTCCTGACGGATTCCGTGTTTTGTTTCCCTCTTCCCCCCCTAGCAAGATTCTTGAATCTGCTGTGTGTGCCTCTCATCCCTCTGGTCTTCCTTTACTGATCCACTCTTGAAGTTTCTTTTCCTGTCTCCCTGCCGTCCTCAGGACTGCACCTGAGTTTTCTCTCACCTAAGTTAGGCGGGTCCAGGCTGTGCTCTCCCTCCACTCCCCCATCGTTGTGTCTACCCACTGGAAGATCAGAATCCACTTTGCGGTTTTTGGTAGTGATGGTCACCGTGCATCAACTGTAAGCTGGGTACTTCACAGGCATCATTTTCTGTCACCACTAGAAAGGATCATTCTTCTCATTTTAAAGCAGGCGGGAGGCTCAGGGAAGTTAAATCACCAGCAGCCCCCACAATTTGATGGGTGAAGACCCTCTGGCGCATCCAACCCAGACCTGATTCACGTAAGAGCCCGGATTTGTTATTCTCCTCTTTCCAAACATAGCCAGTGTCTAAGACAGCGCTTCAGGTAAGGTGATAAATAATTACAGGATTGCTTACTGTTTTAGCACACTTAATACTGCATTAATTTGAGGCTTCCAATTCGCTGCCTAGAATGTCTCTCCTACACCCATCTGCCCCTCGTGGCCAATGCATTCAGGCATTTGTGGAGTCCAAGAACACTCTGCTCTCAGCATTACCTCAGTTTACCATCGCTGTGGTAGATGATGGGGTAGTCACAAGCCATCCTTGGACCAGTAAAGAGCAACCAGGTTGGTGGGGAATTTGTGTACCACAGTCAAGAAAGACAGGAAAAGGAAAACAAACAAGAAAAAAGAAAAAAAGAGAAAGATGGGAAAAGGGAAATGTCAAGGAGGATTGTTGGTTAGAGGGGTTGTGTCCTTGCAGAACCAATAGGTTAGAAATCAGACAACCCAAGAAACACCTTCGAAGAGTGTCAAGAGTCTTGTCCCTGTGAGTTTTCAGGCAGGATCTGAAGAGCACCCTATCAGGAATGTTACTGAAAGGATCCCTGCTTGTATTGGCAAGACAGCTGAGTGTCTTTTAAACAGTTTAACAACTCTGAGCTGTCCTGATTTATTTTCTGGGTATGTATTCTTTCACGTTGGTGAACACCCACACGCTTGCCTTGCTTCTGACGTGGTGCTGTGAGTCAGTACTCTCCTTCCCATGCCACGCCCCCTTCTTCTCCCTTGATTGGACTGTTTTTTGTTTGTTGTTTCTTTCTACCAGGGATAGAACTCAGGACCTTGCGCTTATGAGGCAGGCAGTGGCATCACTGAGCTAAATCCCCAACCCCTGATTGGACTTAAAAAAAAAAAAAAGGTGTCCCCATGTTTTCTTGTCTCTTCATCAAGTCTCCTAGGTACCAGCCCACACTCTACCTGCCCCCTTTCAGGAATGAATATACCATGGCTTGGATGTGGAGAATAACATTCCTTTTGTTTCTAATGATCATCCTGAAGAGTCCTAAGTCTGGAGTTTTCTTTTCTTTCTTTCTTTTTTTTTTTTTTTTTACTGGGGATTGGACCCAGGACCTTGTGCTTGCAAGGCAGGTAGCAGAACCACTGAGCTAAATCCCTGGCCCAGGCTGGGGTTTTTCTTGTCTTCAATTGTGTGTGGGTTGATGTGTTTAGGGGATTCCCCAGTGACTCCCTTGTCCTTCTCCAGACACTCATGGCATTCTGTTAGCTGTTATTGAGTACCCCCAATGCATCACTAGACACTTGTTGCTGCTGAGTACCCTCCTTACTCTCTGATAGCAGCTCAGCTTCCTGGCCTCTCCCTGCAGTTTTTCCTGGGAATAGTATGGAACAGAGCCTGGTGTTTTGTGGACACTTTCAGGTCTCCCACTGCACCCTTCTTAAGAATGTCTGTAACAGTATTGCATGACTGGCTGTGCTTCTAATGCTTAGAGAATGCACATGTGTCCTCCTACTGTGACCTTTACGGAATGGCTCTGAGAAGGTCTGTGTGTATGAGGGAGAAATCCCCAGTTCCAGGCGATGAAATGAGTGGTATCATAGGTACAGATAGAATCTCATGAGTTTTTTTGTTTTTTGGTTTTCTTTTTTTTTTTTCTTT